AAGCTGCAACTCAGCATCACATAAATTCTTTTCTGAATTACAAACCTATAACCAAACTCAAAACTCACTCTAATCACTAACTGATCTGCACCTAGTGCATTTGACTCCGCTAACGGCTTTGTCGCATCCCAAATCACTTTCTCGGGAGTTACCTAAAGAAGTGACTGCAAATCTAAGAATTTCTAAAAGTTTCTGGAACCTTGCCTTGATAGTCTCTAACAACTGATTCTCGCTACAGTAGTCATTAATGCATAGTGATTTTGCTCGGAGCTGACGAGCTCGTCGTGACTTTGAAGCGTCGCGCCGTCGCAGGTAAAAGTGTAGTTCACCTCGCATAATCTTAAAATATTGAAATAATACGGTTTATCACTTAGTTTAAGAAAGATTTATAAAAATTTCAGACCTGTTCCTTGTTAAGCCCAGAGATGTCGAAAATCATTACCTCATGACCGTCTAATTTGCCTAAAATGATTTTTTCTTGCGAGTTTTGCGAAAAGTCTCTTGCGTTCTCTACCTAAAGCAGGATCGATGCCGCGAACGATATTTCCATCATCTGAGCCGTCATCCTCGACAAACGTCTCATAAATGCTCTGCATCATTGCAGCAGTACGATGCGACGAACGTACTTTGGGTGCTGTGGAATTTGCTGAAAAGCATAGATAGCAACATGGGAAAATTTTATTTTAATTCCATCATTTTAACAGCAACATGGGGAAATTTGAATTTTTAGTTCCATTATTTTAATCTTCAAATATTCATGGACTGTAGTGTTTTGATAAGAATGTCAAACTAACCATTGGGAACTTCGCTAAAATCCAACAAATATCGAATCGTCTCCTGAATCACATCGTTCGCATCGTTTTCGACGGCCCAGACAACGTACGCGCTGCATAGGAGCAGCTGCGTAGCGTGCATTGTCGTCGAAGAAGGACTTTCTACACTGGAATTTATAGTTTCTCGTGGTCATTTGATATGCTGTGTTTTTTCATGGAACGGAACAAGATTATGTAGAATGTAGGGTATAAAAGAAGCATTATACGAATAGAGAAGCTGTTTGTTGTGAAAGTGAAATTTATACGTAGGCGAGCCAGATGAACGAAAGAAGTAAGCAGTTCTTTTGTCCATATAATTGAGTAAATCTGGTACCACAAAAAGATTAAATCATACCAATGGATAAATGAATATATGGCAATAATGTATAAAGGAATTTTTTCTCATTAATTTTTCATATTTGAGTGAAAGTTCATCACATAAACGAGCACATGAATGAAAGAATAAAGGGTGGGAAAATACGACTAATAATTTTAAAAAAACTGAATAGACAGCTGAATGAATGAATGAATGATTGAAGAAAGGAAAGAAGGAGTTGAATGAAGAATGAATGGAAATGAATGAAATTATGCCTTATCAGATTAGATGAATGTGAGGTTGGCTACTCTCACATTGTTCGTTTTCAGACAGATAAGTGAATCCAATGAATTTTGTTCACTTAGCCGTCAAACCAATGAGTAAAAAAATGGCAAATGTATATTGGATTTCAACATAGAATAAGACACCTTGCCTTGCCAAAATTTACCCGCACTGTAGTAAAGACAAAATCCAGTCAAGCTTCAATCTGTGCAAAATACACAAATTTCTGATGTTAATCTGAGAAATAAATGTTCCTTTAAACGACGAATTAAGCCGTATGAAACTACTGCAGCAAGCTGTGAGAAAATTCAATGAAATTTTGCTTTCGCACTTTCCAGTT